TTTTTTTTGAGAACATCGTGTGTATGTTTGATCTTCGCGCAGTTGTATTTTTGTTGGATTCCGCGTTAAGAAACGACACTTGCTTTAGTTTTTAGAGTATTTTATTTATTCTTCACGTTGCAACCGTGGTCAAAGATTATGTTACAAGGTCTTCAGTCCGCTTGATGAAAAAGAGTGCCAGCACAATTCTTCCCAGTGCAATTCTTCTTTTTATATTTATGTTTATGGTAAATCAGAGAGGGAGAAGGGGGAAAGGAGCGTAGATGATCAACTACTGGAATTTGCTCTCTGAACAAATGTTCGTAGATCACTTTTGGAGGACTTTGGGATTAGTGACTCAGTGTTAATACTGAACAAATATTGTCAGATCTAGTTAATACTTTTGTCTTGGTTAATTGACGAATCGATTTATTAATTGTGATGGATTAACGTCGAATGTCTTGTTGCTTGAATTTATTAAGATCACAAGTTTTTAGAACGTTGATTCAAATTTATATTGATTTACTTTATTTCGTATCTAAATTGATCTTCATCTCTGGCAAGAAATACCTCGGGATTAAGAAGTAGGAATATTTGTAAAAGTGCTGAAATCGAAAAGAGTTTAAGATAAGAAATTGCACTTTCAAATTACAATTTGGCAATTTGCCCAGCAAGCTCTTGCCTTAGTTTTTCACACATAAAACTTCGAATTTCGTTTGGACTTTTCGATTTATCTTTGCACGTAGATTCCTATTCTTATTTTTACCACGAATATACCGTGTAATACCTATAGTATTTCGTACAAATCTACGTTCTTGCGAGATCAAACTAGACACGGTCTAAAAATTCTAAAAGATGAGATAAAACAAAATGGAACAGTTTCGACTCTCAAACTTCGTGAAAGTCAACCGCGACTTTCTCGATTCCACCGGCTGCAAGGGAACTTTCAAGGAAAACCGCGAATGGGTTCGAAGGGGAAGGAAGTAAAATATCCTTGGCAAGAGAAACGGCTGGAATTGATGAACTTACACTGTCGGCTATTACGATCGGGATCGCAAAAATCGTAATCCTTCGTTGTTTTGACGTCTCGGGAAGAAAACCACATCGTCGATGGTCCAAAAGGCATCCTGGCAGGGCACAACTAAGGGATGACAGAGACGTTTAGTGGAGAAAACACGTTCACGAACAGTGATGAGAAGGCCACAGTCAAGTTACTCACAAAAAGCATCGTTTATTTTTATCTCTTTATCTCTCTTAAAATGAATTTATAATTTTTTATAATAATACATCAATAATAATTACTAATAATAATTAATGATAATAATTAATAATTAATTAATCAATCAATTAATTAATTAATCCATTCGTAATAATTAATCCGTAATATAGTGATATCCAAGGTCGAAGGGGGAGAATCTCGTCCGAAGTTCAAGCTCCAAACGCGCCAGTCTACAAATGGGGGCGGGGGAGAACAATCGGGACACGCGTCTGAATCGTCACTCACGGTTTTTTGGCGAGAAACGTTTGGAACCTGTTCGGAGAAAAGTCTACGGATGCTGTACGAGTCCTCGAGGGATCGTACACGCGGCGTTCGTCGAGTCGAATTTTCTCTTGGAGTCGCACGCGCCCCCCGAGAGTTATTATTTCTCTCGGGGTGGGGGTGGGGGGGTAGGGGGGCAGAAGACAAAAACTCGAGAACGAGTACGACCATGCGCACAAATCGTCCTTCCGTGCGTTTTCTTCTCCTCATCTTTCTCTTTTTTTTCTTTTTCTTTTTGTTTTTTGCTTCCTTACGCGTATGTGTCCTATGTGTACGTGTATGTGTGTCTACGTACGTACGTACGTGTGTATGTGTGTGTGTGTGTGTGTGTGTCCAGTGTATGGTACAGCGCGACAGTGCGTTTATATATAGAACTTCTTTTTTTTCTTTTTCTGTTTGCATGTTTTTTTTACACCGCTTAACATTACACCGCATATAATTAATATAATAATCTTTCTCACGCGCTCTATGTATAAGTATTTACAAGTAACGGAGAGAGACGGCAATCGGGTTGCGTTCGGGAGAAGGTTGAATAATAGTAGAAGATCGGTGGACGAGGCAGCGATCGCAAACTGTACAGAGGGAGGGGAGGATTCGAGCCGAGTGTAATAAAATTAAAATTTCTCGTGTTCACGTTTAACCCTTTATGCCCGGTGAACGGTGATCCCTGTGACACTTTCAACGAAATTTTTGTGGCACACATTGCGAACATTGCACACAGTGGAGAGGAGAACGAATTTTTACAGTAACCTTGGTGATATCCGTAAGTGGATTTTCCAACTCTAGTTCAACTCTTTGACCAGGAGTGACCAGAAGTTAATTCAGAGTCATTGGAAAAATTGACAAATCTTCAGAGTTCTTCTTCTTTGGCTTCTCTCGAGCGCCGGACGAGTATTTTTCAATAACGAGTTAGCTGGTCGAAAGCCCTGGTCAAAGGGTTAATATAATCGGAGTTTTCCACGAAAATCATATCGAAATTGGAGGTACGTGAAAATAAATTTTCCTCTGCCGGAGAACGCGGAGGATCGCGTAAATTCCCAACTAACTGTATGAAAAAAATTGTTCAGTTCAACGCACAACGTGGTAAATAAAAATCGGTGTCTCAGCAGGTCCACTTAGGAATTAATGCATCATGTTTAAGATATTGGTACTTACGAGAGTACCGACAGGCTCTAGCTCCAGCGGCTCGCAAACGTGCCACGAAAAATTCTCGTGCACACTGGAAGCGATTCGAGTACCCTAAAGTCTGGATATAAAGAGTCAAAGTGTCGTCGAGCTGCGTGCAAGGAATCGTCGTGAAAATTCGTTTGGTGTGTAGTAGTAGCATCGTGTTCGAGAGACGATCGCTGCCCCGATCTACTAGAATAGAAAAGATAAAACAATACAGACATAATATAGGTTCAAAGAACAGGGGGGAGGTGGAACAGTGGGGTGACGAGAGCTAGGGGCGACGCGTCAACCTAGAGACTATGTACAGGCGCAGGGGACGAGGGTGAGGGAGTCTGCGCGGTCCCCGGCGTGCCAGGATTCTGTTGCATGGGATAGGAGTTGCTCTGACGCGAGTGCTGTTGTTGCTGTTGTTGGTGTTGATGTTGGTGTTGGTGTTGGTGTTGGTGTTGTTGTTGGTGATGGTGATGGTGGTGGTGGTGATGGTGATGATGGTGATTCTGGTGTTGATGATGGTTGGGCGGAGGAGGAGGGGGAGCTGAGTTTGGAGGAACAGAGGCAGATGTGGCGTGATGGTGAGCGATAGTTTGGTGCGCAGCGGCGTGATTCTGCGGCACGAGGTTCAGGTTGAGGGGGTAGGATAAGGGGGAGCCCAGGGCCGTTGCGGCAGTGGTACTGCAGGCACCGACTCCGGGCCCCACCGGGCTCAGTGCATGCTCATCCCCGCGTGTGGGTGGTGGGCCGCCGCCGCTGCTGCCGCTGCTGCTGCCGCCACCGGCACGGAGGTTGCGTGATGATGCGGATGGTGCATTAGAGGCGGGAGATGCGGGTGGTGGGGATGGTGTGGGGTCAGAGGTGGTGAGGTCATCTGTATTGGGGTCATGGGCGTTGTCGGCTGATGACCGAGACTGGTGGTGGTGGTGGTCTGGGATGTGGTGTTGTTGGTGGTGTCCTGGCCCGCCGCCACCGCTGCAGCTGCTGCCGCCGCCGCCGCCGCTGCCGCCACCAGAGCTTGCTGCTGCTGCTGCTGCTGCTGCTGCTGCTGTTGCTGCTGCTGTTGCTGATGCTGGGCCTGAGCCGGTTGGGCCTGTTGTTGTTGCGGTGGCTGCTGCTGCTGCTGCGGCTGCTGCGGCGGCGGCGGCTGCGGCTGCGGCGGCACCGAGCTGGAAGTGGGACTCTGCTGACTCCCGTTGTCCTCGCTGTCGGAGCAGGACTCGGCTGACGAGCTCCCCGCTCCCCCCTTGCCCTTGCTGCCGTTGCTGCTGCTGCTGCTGCTGTGGGTCTTGACGTGCTTCGCGAGATGGTCGCTGCGCATGAACCGCTTGTTGCAGACCGGGCAGGCGAATCTCTTTTCGCCGGTGTGGGTTCGAAGGTGCCGCTGCAACTCATCCGAACGTGTGAACCGCTTGCCACAGAAAAGCCAGTTGCAAACAAACGGTCGCTCACCAGTGTGCCACCGTAAGTGGGCCTTCAGATGCGACGTTTTCCCGTAGACCTTACCGCAGCCGGGTATGTGACAGCTGTGGATGTTCTTCTTCCTGAGATGTACACCGGCCGGACCGAGTCGCTCGGCTTCTTGACAGTTCGGACAATCGCAGGTGGCGCGTCCTGTGTACCGTCTTTGCGACCGCGGCGACGGCGCTTGGTTAACACCGGCCGCGCCCACACCCACGCCACCGCCGCTACCCTGTGGGCTACCTGCACCAGCGCTCGCGCTCGCTGTTGCAGCCGCGTGATGATGCAGCCCGAAACCCGGCGGCCCTCCCGGCAACATCGATTTGTACGTGTCTTGGAGGAGATTGTGGCCGGCGGTGGTCGCCGTGGTCAACAAATGATTGCCCGCCAGCGCCAGGCTGGTCGAGTAGTCGGCCGAGTAGTTGGCCATTTGCGCGGCATGCACACCGACACCGACCGTGCTCCCGACGTCCAACCATCCGCCGGCTGTCGCCGCTCCATGAACGTCCCACCAACCATCACTGGCTTTGATACCACCGTGCGTCGCGCCTGGCATCGCGTTGAACGGCCACGACTCGTACGGATGTCGGCCGTACACCGAGCCCAAGGTCGCTCCTTCGACCTTACCAAGCAGGCTGCTCTGATGATGGTGCGGATCTCCGGCCGGTTGTGCACTCGCCGTCCCCGGGAAGTACAGGTCGCCGCCGTATTGGGGCGCGGTCGACGCGCACGAGGTTACCGGCGCTCTTGCATACCCACCGGTCGTCGTGCTGCCGGCGCTGCTCGTCGCCGCTGGTCTTTGACTGACTCCGGTCGTCGTGCATCCTCCGCCACCCCCACCCCCGCCCCCTCCTCCACCTCCGCCTCCGCCTCCTCCACCGCCGCCGCCGCCGCTTCCAGCCGAGTGCTGAGGCGAACTGCCGCTGCTCTGTGGACTCTTCTTCCATGGATGGAAGCCTTTGCCGACCGCCGCGTCTGCCAACGGTGGTGGACTCTTGCTGCTCAGTTTGTTGCACTGAGCCGCGAGCATCGCCAACGGCGTACCACGCAAACCCGGATGATCCTGCAACAGGGAAATGAAAAGCGACCGGTTACGACTTTTACGTTTTATTTTGTACGCGCAAAGTTCTTTTACTTTTTCTTTTTCTGGTCTCGGGGCATGACATTGTACGACGTATAAAAAAATCTCATCTTATTTCCATGATATTATATTGCAGATTCTACGTATTTCTACCTATTGTATTTTTATTTCGACTGAACTTGGACGAAGCTTGGAGATTCTCAAACGTACGATTCTTCTTTCGGTAGATGGTCGATCCTCGTACGGCCAGCCACGATTTTATTACGGCGAAACGCGTTCCCGAGCAGGTGTTACCTCGGAATTGCCGGTCCACTCTTCCGATACGATTACGCAAGCCGATAATAACGAGGTTTCGGCGGGGTTCGCGAATTAGGCGCCCCTCCACCCCGCGTGTATCGATCCCATCCAGCGAAATCGCTCGGCCGATTGAGACGCTTTCTCAAGGTAACGCAGCTCGTAATATCGATATAATATATCCCAGCGGGACTCTCCGGCGCGGGCCGTAATCGCGGCTAAATCGACCCAAAAGAAGAAACTGTGCACGCTGGCCACCGGCCGCCGCGCCGGAACCGAGGCTTCTCCCCCCGAGGGGATATAATGACACTAAATTGCCGGTCCTATCCTAGGAGAGAAGCACGAGATTACCCGAAAATCTATCAGGTCGAGACCTGAACTCTGTCCAATTCGATTTTTCGGTTACTCGAGACGAGACGAGGATCCAAGGGTACTATTCTGTATCGTGCAACAAATGATCGCTTTTGTTCTTCCAGCGAGCTTTTCCAACGACGATGATGGCACGCACGACACAGGGAATCTTGGAAGATTAATAATAATTTAAAGATGGCAAGTTTTTGTATTGTGTGTCTTACTCATGATCAGTTGTGTTTAACTAGGAGCTCTTCTGGTAGGTTCGGCCTTTTATTTTATCATTTTGTAAATCTCAGTCTATAATTCTAATCTTCTTTTATAATACCCATTGTTCAACGCGAATTCAAACGCATTAATGCACGAACAAATTCTAGAGCTTTGTATCTGAAAGAAGCACAGAGTTCATGGGTTGTGTATCTTTTCTTCGTTTTAGATACTCTCCATTGTTCTGGTCTCCGTACACACTCCAACTAATTCCAACCCTTCAACTTTGCTTACATCTTTCAAGAACATTTACGCTCTCGAACTACTAAATCAATTCACTTTAGTCGTCCGTTTTAAACAAGGTTATTATATCCGCCGACTTTCATTTCGTCACTTTGCCTGTTACTTGCGTTTGCTTCGTGGATCGTCAAAGGGTTTTCATCCAGTATAAATAAATGAATTAGATTATCGCGGCGTCGTGCTCGGGAAGAGCGAAAAGGAAGGGAAAGGAAGGAGAGAGCCGGTGAATGCGGCTACCGAAAGGCTGGAGGCTGGCTAGGGTCCGAAGCCGGATTCGGACGTGGAAAGGTAAAGGCAAAAGGGTCCGCGGAAGCGGCAGGAAATTAAAGTCTGGCGGGCCGCGCGGCCATTAGCAGCCGGCGCCATCGAGGCGACACGCCCCCACGCGGGTTCAACCTTGCACCAACGCTGGCCAAAGACAACGGGTGCGCGCACCCTTCGAGAATGGAGACAAAGAGGAACAGAGAGAAAGAGAGAGAGAGAGAGAGAGAGAGAGGTCTACCAATCCGTGGTCACCCTCGTGCTGTAACTTCGGGCAAGGTTGCCAGGGTAATAACCACGCTCGCGGTCAACGCCGAGCTCCTTTCCTGTTCCGCTCTTCGAGAAAATCTCGTCGGTCGTTTCTCTGTGGCTCCTCCGGTCGTCGACTCTTTCAGCAGCCCGGGTCAAGCAGCGATCGGATCCTACGACACTTTGAATCGCGAAAATATTCGAGCTGTTCGAACGCTATCGAACTTCGATCCGAGGTTTACAAAAGCTTTTTTGGAGCTATCGATAAATTGAGATTCGCTCTCGTAGATTTTCAAGTCTTCAGTTTCTTATCTGTCAGATCTGTTCAGACGGAAGATTGAACGCGTTTTGACAAGTCATTCGTCAAAACTCGAGTTGATCAAGCCGATCGTCAGATCGATAACCATGATCAAGACATGCGATTTGGCCTGTTTGATCAGTCTCGTTCATTTTCATTTCTCATCAAGTGATCAAGGTACTAAATATGCCGAGAAGTCTAACTGACTTTTTTCCTCCGCTTTCAGCCGCAGCATAAAGCAATTGCACTCGATGTTCGAAAATTGTACACAGCTCTCTGCGTACCCTGATCTTCAATCTAATTGTAAATTGTAATTGCAAAACCAAGCCGCCGATGTAAAGAAACTTTAGCCCTTTAGTCGATAGAATAAAATTGAATTAAAATCGTTGTTCGTATCTCGGCGTATCTTCCAACCTCGTTAGTCGTCGTTTGAAAATTCCCCATTCGTCAACCCTGGTCGCGCTTCGTCCCAGAGAAGGGAAGAAGACAATCCTGGAAAAGGGAGAGTGGAGAAACGCGATGGCCCTCAGTCCCGTGGCGTCGACGAATAGCAAGGTGGCGAGCAACTTTGGCGCTTGCTCGCCGCGGTTTTCCCCGCAAAGGGGTGGAAGACGATATCTATCGTCCTCTCTGGCTCTGTGTGACTATGGGGTGAGAACGCTGGTTGAAAAGGGAGGAGAGAGAGAGAGAGAGATAGGATGAGTCAAAGGGAGGGAAGTAGGAGAACGAGGGAGAGGGAGAGAGAGAGAGAGAGAGGGAGAGGGAGAGTATCTCTCGGGTCGGTGGTGTACGAGCCACGCCCTCTTCGAGCTTCGTGAGTGCAGGTTGTAGGCAGGCTACGTATTGATCCGGCGGAACGATATGACAGTGGCCTGGTGGAGACAACGACGTCTCTCAATTAGCCTGCTCTGCCTTCCTTTCTCCACTCTATGTCATCCTATCCATGCTCGCGCCGCGCCGAGAAATAGTTCGTTCCACTTTGTCGGAGTACTCTACTGTAGGTAGACGTACGATTCAGTCCAGGTGTAGGTCATGAGTTCCCGACGCAGCGGAACCGACGATTCATCCTTTTGTCATCCGAGACACCAAAATTGAAAAGCACACGGCCAATTTGTCCGCAGTGTGTGACAAATCAATGAATACCGATACGTTCGAGATTGGTGAGTTCTGGGAAGATTGTTCATGGTAGTCCAGATGCACGTAACAACGTAACAGCGTGGGCAAACTCGTTTGTTAGATTATTAATAAAACAACGCTGAGCGAATTTTGACCGAAATCGAAATATGCGGTACAAAGCCGCAAAAAAAAAAAATTCCAAATTAAAATTCTTAGTAATTTTAATGAATCTTACGGAATTGTCTTATATTCTTTCCTCTTTCTACACTTCCGATGTACAGAATCATCTCTTCCCGAGATTGTATTGCATTACAAACACTTGACACTGTATTTTCACTGATGGAGATTAGTATCCAGTGAAATTAAATCAAGCAAAAGATCCCAGTGCGAAGTAACATGGAATCTAAATTTCACGTCTCTTGGTAGATTGGCCAAATTCGTACTTTCACAGCATTTTATGAGAACAGTCATCAAATTGACACCAACGAAAACTAGAGAAAACCTGCGTTTTTCGATGTTCACGTCAAAAGTTTTAGATCCCACCTCAGGCATACCTTCGATAGAAAAATTCTCTGCTGTCGAGCAATGTCAAGCTTTTCCCCATTTTCCGGTGGGAAACGTCGGATATCTCTTCGCGGATGATCGTCCCGAGATAGCGGGTTAACGAGAAACGCGTGAAGCGCGTTAATAGGATTATCGATTAGCGCGATATTAGCCGGCAGTTTCGTTACAGCGGTCTGTAATTACCGGCGTGCAGAGAACGAGAAGGAGTCGTTATTCCGTGCCTAGCGAGGCGGAGGCGCCTTCGAGTCGCCCGAGTCTCTCTACTTATATATACTATGTATATAATACGACGTCGTCTTTCGATCGCCGCGATTCTTCGTTCGACCGTTTATGTTTTATGCATGCTACGCACGCAGACGACGTCACGGGGTGTGTACGCCTTTTTTTCTGTTTGTTCCACGAAAGAATTGAACTCGACCCGCGGCTCCGATATTCAACGACAAACCCATTTCCTTTCGTCTGTTTGAAATTTAGCGCGCCATTGAAGTCTCCGAATTAATCACACGCGACAAATGTGACTGTATCTGCCGATTTGTTACGAAATGATCGAATCGGATGTTTGGTACAAGTACTCGGTATTATTGAGCAGGTGCAGTTCAATGTTGATGCCATGTAGGTACATTTTCAAGTATTACGAACTAAAATATAATGCTCCTTTGCTTCCTTGGTAAGTGACAAATGCGGATAAGCATGAATTTTTAACTCGTCAAACGAGACCCTATTTTGAAATAGTAGAATATATATTATATTTGTAATGAATCATGTTATTATTTTTATTTCTATTTGTATTATTCTGAACAACGTATTTTCAAACATTGGAAACTTCATCAAGAATTCGATCGTTACATACTCGTGGTTTCACATGCCCAGTAGTCGAATAAAGTTTGATACTGTTTAATAACTTTACAAGTTTCGATATTTACGATCGTCGCGAGGGCCGTAAAAATTTACGACGCCCGAAGAAGAAAAAAATAAGCTTCAAAAACTCGCGAACGGAGATCCGTCTCTCCGGAGTAGGTTTTGCTGTCGGCACAGTTGAAAGAGAGTGATCCGTAAGTTGGGCACGGCTAGAGGATCTTTTGTTTTAGCCGCGTGACGTCACGCCCATCCTAGCCAGCTAGGACTAATAACGCCTTCGGCTGTGCCGCGCATAAATTAAAACCAGGCGCAGCGTCGTCGTCGTCGTCGTCTCCCCTTCTTGCTTTTGCCCGTATTCCGAGAATGAACCCGCGGTAACGCACCAACCAATCGAAGAAAGAGTCCTCTGGAGGATGCAGGTCGCGGATCGTAAAGTTCCAACAACGAACGAGCGGGTCAAACGTTCCCGAAGAAACGGGAAGAA